TTATACAGCCGGTCACCTTGTGCACCGGCAAATACGGTATTATTTTAAAAAACCAATGGTGTAAATACAGTTATTTGTCCCAGTTAGAGCAGATTCACTGAGTTGGTGAGAGTTACATAAATATGGATGTGACAAAGTCACAGTGTTTCAGCAGCTCTGCTCTGCAGAGCACAAGTTTCATTTGAGCCAATGAATACTTGTGAATTAGCTCTGAAATTTTAATGCCATTTATCTCTGTTTTTGTTTTCTCATAAACAAAAATCTAGTTAATGGAGGCCAGCCACTGAATATCAGGTATTAATAAGAAAAATATTTCTGGTTTAAAAATACATTGGGTGTCATTCAAGGATTTGAATGTGTTGATATAGGCATGTTGAAACTTAAGTTGATTTGTTTCATTATTTCACTGTTTCCCTATATTCGTATGTATTACCTAGCCTATTTTTATGACTTTTGTTTGACAGGCTCAGGAGCGATCAGAAAGTGGAGAACTGGCATTTATTAAGCAACTTGTCCGAAAGATTCTTATTGTCATTGCACGTCCTGCTCGACTACTTGAATGCTTGGTATGATTATGCTTATTGTAATCACTTTGGATATTTGCCTTACCACAGAATATCAGCGGAAGGGCTCCAGAGAATGAGTGCAGTCTATTAGTTTTGTACTGTTGCATGTAGTGCTTTTTTAAGATGTCGACTATTGTCTACAACTTTTGGTCTTAGGTATGAGTACTGTGTAAGCATTAAATGATAGTGGTGTAATTGTTTTTTTAAATCTTCCTCATTCTCTGGGATCAAGTATGTGAAAGCCAGAAAAATAGAATTCAGACGTTACCTCTGGTTTGAATACAGCTGCACCATTACATTAACTCAATTTGGTTTAAAAGATAGGTTGATTTGTGTGTTTATTTGCAATTTGTTTTATGTTTGAAAGTTTTCAGTGTTAACAATTTATAGTTTTTGCAAGCATAGATTTTTGTAAATTCATGAGGCATCTGACTGATTCATGTCATTTAGCAGACAATGGAGAACTGCTACATTTTCCATGCTTTCTGGTGGATATGAATACAGTTGTGCATGCTTGCAGCAGCTCTTAGTCCTACAGAGTCTTCAAATCTGGAAGCCCATTTTGTTTGGCAAAGAGCACTATGATCAGGTTTGTAGTTGGGCAGAATCATTTTAAGGTCATTATGGATTCTGGAAGCAAGTCCTGATCTGATTCAAAATTGAGTCAGCAGATAATCCCAAGAAAGTGCCCCCCCCTCAAATTCTCATGTTTCAGACTTCACTCCTTGTCTGCTGAATGAAGCGCCTTTGCAACCATGTCCCTGTAATGTTGTTTTTGCTTATTAGAAGAATAGTTAGAAATCTGAAACCAAGATGAAGCATTCTGTGTTTATGTCATCCACCAAAACAGACATCCATGGGTCATGCTTCCTACCTGGATTTCAAGCAAAAGTGCAATGAACTTACAAACACATAGCAATATGTTCCTCCATTTTGGAACTACAGCTATAGCTAAAATTTGTCACCTCTCTATCACATGGAATTGGACAGATAGTAAAAATCAGGCAAAAAGAAAATACATAGCCAATTTTAAGATAAATTTGTGATGCTGTCTTACTGATAGTTGACTATCAGCATTTCTTACAGAAACATATGTTTTTAAATTGAACAACTCTCTAACGAGCGAAGAACATTTAGATCTGCAGTTGGTCTGTGAATTTTTCAGATGGAACTTACCCAGCATACATAATCCTTTACCACATCTGTCACAGCTTTATCATTATGAAGACAAATATGTACTCACTTCCATTTTATGATTGACTTTTGTCTTGAGAAATAGGAAGTACTGTACTTTTGTTGAAAGAAACAGGTGAAAAGATTAATCAATAAATTAGCTTAAACATGACTATGTGGAGGATGATTTTTCCACAAATAGATAACACATGTATTACTTTAAATGGAAAAAGGTGGATGGGCTTCTGATTATGCTGAAACAAATAGTTTCAGCATAAGCAGTAAATCTTAAATAAATCCTCTGAACTATTTTCCAGAAGAGAGAAAAAAATGTAAAATGTACACATATTATGTAGGATAAGTTTGGGGGGTCTTTTAGTTTAGGAACAACCCATATGATCACACACTTCTATATTTTTCATTTTTAACACTTCCCCTTTTGTTTCAGCTTTGGTGTATGACTGCTGAACAACTTTGCTCTTAAACCGTAATTCAGAAACTTCCATTTTGTAAATGCATAAAAAATGTTTTTGAAATTCCATAGACAGCAATAGAAAGGAAGATTGGTACAATTCTAAAATATTACAACAGTAGTTCATTGCAACATTATGTTTAGTATTAGCCATTGTAATATTTAAAAAATATAGCACATTTATTACCAGGCTTGCTCATCTCCCTACGACACACCAAATTTGTTTGTAATTACAAGGATACATTTGATTGTGGTTATTGAAGTCCTGACATTCTTGTTCTAGTTGTGAATAATTTTTTCCTGAGACTTGGACATATGAGAGAGAAAATAAGGGTGATCAAGCCACTGTCTTTTTGCACAGAAATAAAGTAAACTGAAACAATTATTTGCATATACTGTTTAAGTGATGTTTTTGTTTTACTCCTCTCCTTTTAGGAGTTTGATCCTGAGGAGTTCTACTACCTTTTGGAAGCTGCAGAAGGACATGCAAAAGAGGGGCAAGGCATAAAAACTGATATCCCTAGATATATTATAAGCCAGCTGGGGTTGAATAAGGATCCTCTGGAAGGTAAGAGAATATCATTGTCCAACAATCATGTCTTAAATTAATGTTGGTATGTTTGGTAGTCCTACTTAACATTTTTCCATTTAATTTCAATGCTATCTGTCAATATAATAAAGAATTATATATAACCAGGATAATGATAGAGTATTTCAAAACATGTTTAGAACACCTGGATAATTTTAATATCATTCAGAGAAATATGTTGAAATAATATATTCTCTTCCACAGACATGAGATTCAAAGCTTCCAGTTTTGCTTTGAGGGTTTTTTAAAATTTTAGTTTCAAAGTAACTACAGTTTCCTGAAATGTTGAAACTGTAGTTTGATTTATCTATTGCTAATAAACCAGGATGAAAGCACAGTTTCCTCTTTTGTTCAGAGGAGGTCTATGTTTGTAAGCTTGAGGCTCTTGTAGACTCACTTCCCTCATAAAGTGAACATGATTTAGTATTATGGCTGAATGAAACCACACACAGAGAAAAACAGAACCCATGTATGCTTACTCTGCATTTGCATAGAATTTGTTCAAAAGGACGTACTCCCAAATTATTTTGCATAGAATTTCAATCTTCATCTTTAAGTTAGTGATCTCAGTATTGTTGCATTTGTACAGAGCAAACCAAACAATCTGTCACTAAGCAAATACAATTGTAAGTCTAAAAGGTGTTGGGTACAACTCCAAAGCTTTTGGATTATGGCCCTAGTTGTGTATCAAAGATGTACTTGTAATATAGAAACTAGGCAAATTTCATCCTTCTCTAGTTGATATATTTATGTCAAAATAGAACACTACTTTGATCAAAGGTTTATGTTAGTCTTCTTGGTGATTTAAATCAGAGGTTCAGGAGGCAGAAGGACTTTCCACCTGAAACATTGGAGACTGATTTGAATGCAACACAACTCAGTTGTTTAGAGTTGCTACATCCATAGCCAATATAATAATTATAGCATCCAGTCTTAGATGGGGGAGGAACAAGAAGAATTTAAATTTGTTTTATTTAAATTCAGTCCACTGACTGCTTTGGGTGTAAATATCCAAGTACAGCACAAACTGGTCCTGTTCCCAGGAAATATTGATCTCTGTTGGAGGTCTGCTTTAGTGACTGCCAGTGCTTTAATGAGAGGCAAATTTATGAAAAATAGCTGTATCAACAGCTGGAAACCATGATAGCTAATTCAGAGGCAGTATACTTTTAATTGATCTAGATAGGTGGGGTATAAACCTAATAAATAAATAAATAAATTTTAAGTAATAGTTTCTGGGGACTGAGAAGTGACAGAATGTAGTTCATATAATCTTATACAAAACACTACTGAAATATAATTATTGTATACCACAACATTGCAACGTGTATATTGGGCTTGTTGCTTCATTCAGGAAATGATCAGTAACTTTTAGAAATGCTATCACTATTATGAAACATAACATCTAACTGTAGTGGTCATGCACACCCCAATTAGCAAAAAATTTTTAAAAATTAAATAAAAGAAGGATATATTTCTGTTTTTAAGCAAATGTGCCACTTCACACCTCAGTAAATTTGTTTTCCAGTAGTTGTGTTTATGGTTGCAAGCCTTTCTCTCTCTTTTGGTATGGTGTCTTACACCATCTTTTCTTCAAGGGAAATGATGCATGCAGTACTTTGAGATAATGCCAGATAAACCTATACTATACGTGAAGTAATAGCACAGAGTCATCATTTATTGGTATCAGTTTGCTGTATTTCAGAAACAGTTCCTGGGGAGAAATGTTTCCCTGTGGCTTTTAAATTACCATCTTTACCTTTTTGAATCATGAGTCTTTAGAAATGGTTAAATCAGTGAGCAGATGTTTAATAGTATTTAGATGAGTTTTAAAAAATGTCTTCAGGCGTTGCAAAATGGTTCCTTAGCTCCCTGTTTCAAAAGCTGACGCCTGGTTTCATCCATTATTACCTACTGTTTACAGATAATATGTATTTCTTAGATAATGTCTATTTCTCTCACTTCCCATGCAAAAGGTTAAAACTGAACCATTTTAATTTTCTATTTATGAATATATATATGTATTTCTTTGACAGGGCTGTCAGGGTATATTACAGGGACATAGTTCTTGCCAAGCCAAAAACAAAAGAGCAATGCCTCAGCAGTTTCCATGGTAAAATCCCGCATTTATAAATTGTTATTAAAGCTATTGCAAAGTTTTACATGGCTGCCATTGGGGACCTTAAATGAAAATGTGCTAATTTTGACTTAAAAGAAACTTTTAAATGTGTGCTTGTCAGAGCTGTATTAATGATTTATTCGTCGTTTGTAATGAACTGTATCTTGTTTTTATGAATTTATGCGTACAATTCTAAAAAATTTCCTTTAGTGATCTTTTTAAGGCAAATGGTAATTTTAACATATAGGCAATGAAAGTACATAAAAATACCTTGATTTTTAAATGTCATGTTCTTGCATTTATATGAAATAGCTCTCCTCAGGATGTTTTAATATACATACACACATATACATGTACATTGTACTGTAATCCATAAGCATGACTTGCATACGTAAAAAATACGTTATGCTTTATGCTGCCGGTGCTTCACTTCAATCCAATATGATCTTGCACTAATATGAATGGGAATAGTGATTAATTCTGGTGGTGTAATTACTATATTACTTGCTATTATTAAGTGGTGAAAATCCTGCTCTATAAGAAAATTCATACGTTTTGGTGTGTCACTTGCTGATAAATAGACTCTCTTGCAATTCTTGGGGGCATGTGCACATGCTGGCTTGGTCTGTACATGTGTACTCCCAAGAATCATGTTGGGGGCTCTTTATTTACTGGTGAGGAAGGGACCAAACCTATGAATTTGTTTATGTTATCTAACAGGATTTCTGCCATTATGTACTTTAATATCCCACCTTTCTTCCAGTTAATTCAAAGTCATATAAGCTCCCCACCCCCACCCCCGCGCACACATTATATTCTCCCAACAGCCTGTGATGGATGTGGCTAATAGAAAACAATTGACTCAAGATCTCCCAGTGTGCTTCATAACTGACTGGTGACTTAAAGGTAGATGTCCCATAATTCTGTCCAGCATCCTACATCACACCTGCCCTCTTGAGTCATAACTAGACAACTGTGCCAAAATTACAAGTTTAGTCTAGTTGACTCAACAGTGTGTGTTACATAGTGCATTACATGAAGCGATCTGCGGGTCCTCTGGAGAAATGAATATTCCAGATGTACCTGCGGTTTCTTGAGGAAACTGGTGCGCTTTCTCTTTTCTTCTGTTCTTTCCTTTCTCCTTTTTCTTTCTTGTTAGTCTTTCTCTCCTCCACCCTAATGATTGCTCCATGCTTTTTATCTGTTCTCTCTCACCATCTTATCCTGCAGCAGGACACACTCTCCCCCCCCCCCAAATTCTGTCCCCAAACTGATTGTAGAATTTAGAAACCTAGGTGCAGAAAACATAATGTGGATAATCCCTCTGGAGAAAAGAATCTCCCTCATGTGCCACCAGTTATTGGGAGGTTTAGTGATATCTGCCACCAAATGACTGCAGGCTGCAAACACTTTAATTAACTAAAATTAATTCATTTAAAAAGTAAAATAACCCCCAAATGCACACCCTTGGGTTCCCTTAGTATCAGTGCCAAACTTAAAATGTCTAGGTTCTTCTTCGTGGTCTCTGTGAATGCACTCTAATGGGTTAATCTGCGCTGTGGACCAACCCCATAGTACACATGGTCCGCACGTCCTGGCTAGTGCCTCAGTTCCTTTTTGCCGCCGCTGAGGTTTCTTCTCTCAGATGAGCTGCATTCGCCTCCTGCATTGAAAAGGGATTTTTCTCATTAGAGATCTTCGGATAATGAGAGTCTTTGTTATTCCTTCCTTCTGCGCTCCCTTGAATCCCCTTTCTTTATTTTTCATTTGTTTATGGCCTATTCTGGACTGTTTCAATGGTGCACTTTGTGCCCCAGTAAAATTCCATTCACAGACGGCCACGATTCCCACCAACCGCCCTTTTTGTAAAAAGTTTGTGAAACAGGCACTTAAGCTAAGAAAGCAACGCCTACAATCTTATTTGTAGGAACATTCCCTTCATCCCATACCAACTATGGAAACTGCACTACCTTCTCAGGTTCAATTGGTTTCCCCAGGAGCCTCGGTTGCATCTTCGGCGAAATCAAAATTTTAAGTCTAAGACCATCACTAAGTCTACCAGGGGTGCTTCGACACTGAAGTCTACACCGGTACTGAAGTCTCCTCCAGTACTGGACAAAGAAGCCTAAGAAATCGTCTTCGGAGTCTTGATCCTCCAAACGCCAGAAGGACAAGATGACCTCTTCCATCCCATTATAAGAGCAGCAAACTATTTGCCTCGATTCTGTATCTGTGGAAGATGACCATTATTTGCCTCCGCTTTTAGGCCAACCACCTTCTCCTCTCTTTGCTCAGTCCCCCTCGTGGGCTAATACCTCAGCTGAGGTTATGGTACTGCCTCGTTATGACCATGCGAGCCCTTCTATGTTTCAAGGACCGCCTCTTTCCGCATATCCAAGAAATTTTTTGTTTCTCCGCACTTGCCACATAGAAGATGCTTTATCTCCTCCCAAACCATCTCTAAGTGGCTTGTATCAACCATGTGCCTGGCATATCAGCTGTCCAAGAAGCCTCTTCCAGTTGGAATTAAGGCTCATTCTACGAGGGCAGTGGCTACTTCTGCAGCATTCCTCAGAGGCATTTCTGTCCCTGATATCTGCAGATCTGTTACGTGGTCCACGCCGTCCACCTTTGCCTCTCATTACCACGTGGACCTCCGGGCTAAGTCAGATGCTGCATTTGGACAAGCGGTCCTGTTGTATGTTCTTTTGTGACGTCCCTCCTCCGGTCAGGTAAGCTTGTTAATCACCCATTAGTGTGCATTCACAGAGACCACAAAGAAGAAAGAGAGGTTACTTACCTGTAACTCTGGTTCTTCGAGTGGTCATCTGTGAATTCACACTTCCCGCCCAGCCTCCCCTCTGTCCATCACGTCTGCTTCATTTTATTTAGCAGCGGGCAGTTTGGGAACTGAGGCACTAGCCAGGACGGATGGACTACGTGCACTAAGGGGCAGTCCTGGCGAATGAGTGTTAAGCTCTAGTCTAGAAGATTCCGTACGTGCACTAGGGGGGTGGTCCTGGCGAACGAGTGTTAAGCTCTAGTCTAGAAGATTCCGGAAACCTTTGTACAAGCACAGATTAACCAATTAGTCTGAATTCACAGATGACTACTCGAAGAACCAGAGTTATAGGTAAGTAACCTCTCTTTTCACATTCTCAGCCGCACGTTATGCCTAGAGTATTCTAGATGATACAGGATTTGAACTCATTTTACAGGAACTTCCTATGAGAAACTTAGGTATCTTTTTAAATGAAGATTTCATTTAACTTGAAAACAGGATCTTGTTCTTTTGCTGTAAGAATTAGAAGAACTGTCTCCCACCAGCATTTGGTCCAGCATTTTAATAACTGTACTAATTTTGTTTTAATTTTATCTATGTATTTATTTATTTTAGAAATAGCTCAGCTAGCCAGCTATGACAGTGGGACAGCAGCAACTCCAGAAACTGATGAATCAGTTGGTGTAAGTATTTTTGTTATATTGGTTTGTGTTTTGATCTAATGGTAGACTGCATTATTTCATTCAATCATCCTTTAAAACTACATAGCAAATGTCTTTTTAGGATGCAATGTAAATATTTCAATTACTGAATAAATGAAAAAAATAGGACTTAGACAGCTCACAGACTTTGTGTGCAGGGAAGGTATGTCCCTTAAGATTTTCAGATGAGACTCCATGAGCTGATACTAATTGTAAAGCTGCTGTCTTTATACTCTAGTTATAACTGAAGTTATAACTGGGAAGCAGGGACATATAACATTTGAATATATAGTAAGTATATGTATGCATTTTGTAAAACTAAATGAAATAGTCATTTATTCAGTTATTATACTGTACGTGTCACCTATGCAAATTATTGGCATCTATTCAGATAATATATATGCTGAATTTGATACTGTAAATCAGTGAAGTAATTCCTCATTATAATTAAGTAGGTGCAAGTAGAAATGCTGAGTCTGGAGATGGATAGTCTCTGGTATCCATGGTTGCTTTCCATGTACATCAGAACCCTAGAAAAAGTTCCAATTTAAATGGAGAGGCCCAATGGATAGTCAAGACTCTCATTTTTCACCATCCACATGTGGGAGGATAACAAAACTGGGGATGAAGGGAGCAGGCTTTCTCTTTGCAAGCTTTCTGTACAGATAACATCTGAACAGGCTATTGAAATGGAAAACCAACTTCACATACAATTTGGATGTAAAATTAACTTGGGTGGTCTTGGTGGCCAGTTTACTGTTTCACCATATTAACATACCAAATAGAAGTTTTATGAGGATCAGTAAGAGAAGGATTATGAAGCACTTTGTACGTTGATTTCAAATGTGGGGTTAGGCGTACACCAGGGTTACTGCGCTAACAATATAGGTGTAAGGCAACTGCATACCATCGTTAAAAAACGTACGAGAAGGCAAGGACAATGTGCCTGTTTCAGTGCTAGGTTGGGGGTTATACAGTTCCAGTGCTTAATCAGGGCCAAACAAAGAGACTTGTGCCCTCTCACTCACTTAAATCAAGATGCATACTACCCCCAAACCAGCCAAATTATTTTGACTCACAAGGAAGAAAATCTCATTTATCTATGGCAATAAAAATACAATAACAAAGGGAATAAACATAACAAAGTGGACTGTTCCACATGTTCATGATTTGAAGATGTTGCATGGACAGCGCCTAGCATCCTGTTCAGTATTTATGAATGTTAAACTCCAAGTGAGGAAGCCATCATGGTGATCTTACGAGTTTTCACTTGCATATAACCAGCATTATATCAGATCACTGTAGTGACTTCCAGTTTTGTAGCCTTATGTTTACATAAAAAGAACAGGATACTTGCCAATAAAACAAAGATTAGACATATATATAGCCAAAGAATTGATCTAGAGGCATGCTGTCTTCCCCACAAACCCATCATTTGATTGCCACAGTTTCTACAGTTCCTGCCATCACCATCACCATTTTAAAATATTGAATTAATGCTTCTCAGGCTTAGATGCTAGCGGTAAAAGCTTGATAACAATTGTGTTGAGGTGGTTGGAGTTTTTTGTCCCTACTCTTTTACCTTTGGTCTTACCTACCACTAGCATGCAGCCTCAGTTGCGGACTTTTTCTGAAACTGAATCTGGACTGTAGGCTATTAATACTGTCTCTTGTTGGATATTAATAATGTAGGAGCTCTCTTTCCTACTATTTTCTTTACTTTCCTATTTTTAGCTCAAATTACCACTGCTCACTTCTTATATATATATTTAATTTCCTGGTTTTCAGGACCAGTTGCATTTTCTGTTCTTCAGTCACCTTATTGTTTTTTTGGCAAAATGTCTTATATTCCACTCTTGTAGTATATCCTCGATTGCTCCAAAGTTTCTTCAGGGATCGCTAAGTAGTTAGTCCCTTCTAATTTAACTTTCTTATCCATCAAAGAAAGCTGGACTTCAAAGCCCATTGTTTCTTGAGCGGCTGATCATTCATTGCAACCACTGTACTAGTTCTGCCAATCAGTGCCAGAAATCTCAGTGCTGCGTGAGCAGTACCAGTTCTTGGCATGCCTGAAAATAGCACAATTTCATTGAAATTCATAAGGTGGAAAATGTGCTGTTTAGAATAACTCAAAGATACAAACATTGGGTTTTTCATTTATGAAAAGTATAATGCTGATATACTTACTGTGCTTTTTGTATAATATCATTTTAAACAACCTTATTGTAGTTAGTTGCAATTTCTTCAGTTGTTTTAGAAGAAAATTATTTTCTAAAGCAGAATATGTGATTAAATAATAAAATAAGGGGAAATAAAGTTAATGTATTTCGATACATATGTTTTGACTTTTTACAGCTTAAACAAGTATACAAGTACTAATTATGTATTTGCAAGTCTGCATCTGGTTGGTTTTTATTCTGATTTTAAATACCATCCAACTACTAGAAAAAGTCTAGGAAACATTCTACACATATACTGTTGTACAAATTCACTAGTCATTTCTCCAGTCACATGTCACATATACTACAGTACTTCCTCCGTTTAATATTGTTCAGGTGAATACTAAAAAAATGTATAATTTCTTTTTCTGTTGGAACTAAAAATTAAAATGGTACATTGCTATACTACATGCACTGTCATGGAATAGATGGTGTTTATTTGATGAATGATAGCACGCTTGAAAGCACTGAACCAGATAGGTATGATGGATTGGCTACAACTATGGCACTACCTCTATATGGTACCAGCCATCATATAGCTCTGCAGATAACAATATTTTGTGGCTAATATAACTGTTGTTTTTTTCTTACTTATTTTGAAGAACTCGAATGCTTCCCTTAAACTTCAGAGAAAGCCTCGTGAAAGTGATTTTGAAACAATTAAACTGATTAGTAATGGAGCATACGGGTGAGTATTTCTCATGATTTTTGTGTTTGTTTTCTGGTGCTTACTCTTAATAGTAGTTGTCTACTCGAAATGATGCATAAATAGTGCATTCTTAATCTCTCTTCATATACTTTCTCTCCAGTATTTTGTGTCAGATGTACAAAATCTCCTCTTAGAAGAAAGACATCACTTTGGAAAAGAGACATTAACAAGAAGTGAATATTTGAGAACATCTATAAGAGTAGCATTCTCTAATCGCAGTATTTTTGCATCTTTTTAGTTAAACAAGCTTAAACAATAATGTGTAACTTGTTCAGAACAACAATAAAAATCAAAACAAAAATGCCCCCATTATGCTGCTTTTCAGATCAGAGAGACTGAATGATAAAACCGTAATTCAGCCTTTGTTTTTAACATTGACTAGACCAGTACTCACCAAAAACAAACAAAGAAAACCTATGCTGAAGAAGTGCCAGGCAGAAATGTTAAATAGTTTTGAGAAACTCAGGATTGTTCTTATACTTCTTGTGTTAACCTAACTCTACTTCTAACTCTGTACCTTGGAATTCCCATGAATCAAGGAATACCCAATAACACAATCAGTGCGTTTTTAAAGAATCTGAATCAGTTGAACTTCAAAATGCTTAACTGTGGCAGGATCATGCCTTTGGTACTCTTCACTTTTTAATCTTAATTAGTTCTCATTATTTATCTGGGTTCATCAAATTATTAGCAAGAAAACCACAAAGTCAGAATTCTGATCAGCATTGTTATTGTCTCATTAATTCTAGCTTTAAAAAGTAGGGCATTACTTTTAATACCTGAGCTCTTAAGAATGTATTAAACATTAATTATTCAATGACATTTGTGGAAGCACAGTGTTAAACTGCTGCAAGGGTACTTAATGCTGTTTATTACCGGTATAAACTGAAAATAACATTAAGGTTGATGTGAAACATTTTTCCTTTTGGTGTTTTCCAGGCCATTAATTTTCTTAAGTACTTTAAATAAGTGAGGTCTTGATATTGGTTCACTAATTCATTTTCAGAATGTCAATGGCTATACTTTTTGTGATATAGTTAGTTGATCTTTTTATTATTGTTGTGTAATATACTGTTTCTTCTAAATGAAAACATTTAGAATGAACCAATGCTCACACATCATGTGTGTGTGTGTGTTTGAGGGGTTATAGTTAATTCATTCATTTATTTTGTTCTGTTTTGGATTTTGGTTCCTTCATTAGTGAGTTTAAATGCTCTGTTTCAAATATAATTGTTGATCTTGGCATACTTCAGCAGACGTTTGTCAGATATATTCAGCTTGATGAATTTAAATTTGAACCCGCCTCCCTGTTTTCAGTAAATATCTTTTCAGAAGGCTATTCTATAATTGGGAGAGTAAACCCTTTGCAGTGTAATTAAATGACATTATACTAGATAAGGTACATCAAGCTATCGGAAATGAATGGTTGGGAATATACAAGAAGTTAAACAAGCTGTGAATCTGTAAACATGTCGGATGCGGGCCAAGTCATTAATGGTTTTGCAAGCTGTCTTAGACGTTCTCTTCAAGCCAATTCTTTGTTTCTTGTCCATAAATTGTTTCTTACTGCAAGTGCAGTTTGCTTTCTCTCTCAACATTTTAACCTTGAACAGAACTTTCATTCATAATTGTTGCACTGCCTAATCCTTCATCAGCATGCTTTTATGAACTAGATCAATAGTCATTTATAGTGTCTTTGTACGTTATGTAATTACAGTTTGGAATTGCTTTCTGAGAGTTTTGTTAGCAAGGATTGCGGAAGTAAATGCATGTGGCAGATAACTTCATAACAGAGCAGACTGTTTCTGTTAGCTTTGAAGGGCCACTGATAGTTGTTTCAGTCTTTTTTGGAATAAGGTCTGAGCTGTTTGAAAATGATCACTAATATGAAACTCCCAGTGATCTTCTTTCACCTCTTGATGTGTACATGATTTAGAGGACCATTACTTCAATATGTCTCATAGAATATAAGGTGTCATATTGTCTTGCAGAGGCTGACAAAAAGCTCCTTTTGGCTTTGGAGACACTTAACACACTAATGAAGGAAAGATTTTAAAAAAATATTTAAAAGACAGTAAACCAGAAAATTTGAATGGTAAAGGAGCAGAGTACATAGAAAGAGTGGTCTTACATACCTTCTGCTTTCAGCAAGTGGGCCGTGCTTTCATAGAATGGAGGTCTATGGTGAGGCATGCCACAAAGATGTCTTTGGAATTTATATATTTTCAAACAACATAGCAATTAATTGCACCTGCTTGTTAATCTTACATACATGCAGCTAAATTTCCCCATATCTCATTAATGATAACACAATCAAACATCTAAGTCAGTACACTTTAAAGATGTGTCCATCTCTTATCAATAGTTTTCAAAGAAACAGCTTTGTTAGTCTGTATCCAGACAAAAAGCAAAACAAAAAACAAAAAAACTGTGGTATCTTAAAACTATTATATTTCAGTGTTACTTTTTGTGGAGGCAATCACTCCTTCAGACATTTATAGCTATCAGAAGAGGTGGAAATATCCATGAAAGTTTGCACTGAAATATACGGTAACAGTTATTCTTTAAGGCGCCATAACTTTTTTTCTTCAATTTTTATCTGAATGTTTTGTCACTACTGACTAACCCTGAACTTGCGCCCAGTAAATTTTATTGTAAACACATTCCAGGGTCATACTTTCACAAGCAACCTTCTACTATAGACATAAAGAGAGCTTGAGAAGATAGTGAAGCTGGTCTTAAAGAAATTTAGATGGAAGCCTGGGCATAGAGGGAACATTGATCACACTGCTAAATCTCCTTGCCATAAAAAGGGTTTTGATAATGATACTACACATATAGTCTGTAGAGTTAAAAATGAAAGGGTTTGATGTTTCTAAATGGAATCTCTCCTTGCTATTTAATTAAGAAACAGATTTTTATACAAGATTAGTTTCTCAGAAAGAACTTGCTGGTCAAAATCCTTTTCTGCAAGTTGCGCTATGTAAGGCTGATACCATCAGTTGAGGTGATTTTTTTAGAAATAAAAAAATGTCCTGTTCCTCCCTCAAAGGTCCCAAAGATCTCCTGGAATCCCTTTTGTCATGAGGAAACTATTGGGGGCTGAGGGATGGGGAAAGAAGTCTTTAATTTTTAAAAATCGCTGCTGTTAGTAAAGTCATCCTGGATGTGGCAATTTTAGGAACTAAAAAGACTCCTCCACCACCCCATCTGGTGGCCCCAACAGCTTCCCCAGCACCTTCTCCATTGCTGCTATATTTAAGAGTTTGAAGCACTAAGGAGATTGTTGGTGTCTTCCTTAACAATCAATTAGTCCTTCTATGCATCATACGTGTGTGTGTGTGGTGCGTGCATGTGTGCACATGTGTGCATGTGCGTGAGGAAATTGTTGGTGTCTTCCTTAACAATCAGTTAGTCCTTCTGTGCATCATAGGTATGTGTGTGTGTGTGTGTGTGTGTCGTGTATGCATGTGTGCACATGTGTGCATGTGCGTGCATGGTCATCCACTTTGCTTCTGAAAGAGAAAGAAAACTAGAAACACGTTACATTATCTGTGGAGACTGTGCAGCCCTTTGTCTCGCTCACAGGTGAAAACAAAGACTGTTGCAGGGCTTTGGAATGCTTCTCAGAGGAGTCTCATCATGTCAAGACAGCCAAAACTGATGAGAAGGAGAAATTTTACAAGTGTTATTTTCAACCCTACTTATTACTGATTGGCGGGAATCTAGTAATATGTCAGAAGGAGGCTGGAAAAGCCAGTACTAGAAACCAGGCTTTCTCAGTCATGGCCCCTTCCCTCTGGATCAAACTTCCTACAGAGGTTCGCCAGGCACCGTCCCTCTCTGTTTTTAGGAAGTTGATTAAAATTGAATTATACAAAGCTGTCTTTTTCTAGTGTGAATATTGTCCTGAAATGTTCAAATGGGTTTTACTTTTTGTATTTTTATTTAAAAATTTTAGTTTTCGGTAGGGAAGGGTTTATTGTATTTTATTGGATTATTGTATTTTTATGTAGTATTTTAGCATATGATTTCATTGTATATTGTGAACCACCCAGAGAGTGGCAGCACTAATGGCTTCCCCCATTTTTGCTGTCCTTCTGAAAGCAGACAAAGATCTTTCACTTCAGGCAAGCTTTCCTTGAGTGACTGGATACCTGAGAGTAGGGGTGGGGGGTTAATGGGTTGATGTACCTTACTGCTTTGAATGTATGTTTTTCAGTATGGTATTTGTTTGATCCATTTTAGTAATAATATACTCACTTCCTTGTTTCCCCGAAAATAAGACCTAACCTGAAAATAAGCCCTAATATGATTTTTCAGGATGCTCGTAATATGCCCTACCCCAAAAAATAAGCCCCAGTTAAGTGAAACCCCGCCCTCACCATTGTGCAACAACCAGAAGATGACATGACTGTATTTGAATAAATGTAGATTGTTGTGCATGAAAAAATAAAACATCCACTGAAAATAAGCCCTAATGCGTTTTTTTGGAGCAAAAATTAATATAAGACCCAGTCTTATTTTTGGGGAAACACGGTATTAGTTTTAATATTGTCTTTAATGGTTTTACACCACCGTGGGTCCTTTTCAGGAGAAAGATGAGGTAAACATATTTTAAATAAATACATTTCAATAAATAATGGAGCAGTAAGGAAATGGAAACAAGCAACTAGAGTAGGCCTGTTGAATCAATAGCACTTCCATGTGTTGATTCAATTAATTAACTAATTATGTATTGTCAAATGAATTCTGATGTGCAGTGATCCTTCTGAGTTTTCTAAGTCTAAAGTACTCAGAGGTGATTAACCATACCTACAGTACCTCTGGGGTGCTCTGGGGCCATGCAGCTCTTCACTTGTAAGGCAGATGACATCATCAGTCACAATTAAAAGTTTCCTATCCACCCCACCCCCCAGATTCTGAGGCTCCCTAGGATTCCTTTCAAGCTGTGGTAGCCTCAAGACGGAGGAGGAGTCTTTAATGCCTGAAAATCACCATTGCCTACCCTGAGGCCATCAGAGACTCAGAACAATGAAATTATAGGGAAAGATGACTGAGTGTAAAAGCTGAACTTCCCAAACAAGACAGATCAAAAAGGGGCAGTAGAAAGTGCAGAGAAGCAAAAGGGATAGTGAACAAAACTCTGGAGGAAGAATGATTTATTTGCATATAAACGTATGATAGTATTATGCATCATTTTGACTGTAATTTCAGGGAAATGTGGCATACTAGCAAATGCATGGTGTGTAATCACATACATATAATTTGTGCAATATTTGCTCAACTGCTTGTGGGCGAAGGTCTACCAGAGGAGGGCAGACACACACTAGATAACACCTTGATTATCAGCCTACCCCATGGAGCCATCAACCACCAGCTTCCCAGAAGGGAGGATCCAAGTGACTTATATTTTTATGTTTTTATTATTATTATGCTAATATAATTTTATATATCTGGCCTGCCTGGCTGTAATGCCCAGCATGCTTACACTGGAATAACTTCATAATACCTGAGGGTGAACAGGATTTCATCTGGGGAATTGTGAAGAAATGAAGGGAAAGAAGTCAGTTGAAACAGGTTGCTATGCAGAATTGCATGGCTTTAGGAAGAAGAGAGCTTGTGAATGTCATTCTGTAGAAACAACAGGGAAAGGGATGCAAATTGTATTTTGCCCGAGATTTATTATCATCCTACATTTGGTGTTTTAATGGTGCTGTGCTGAAATGGGCACAGTACCATCTGCCTAAGAAAAAGGTTAAGAGGCATATTTTGGGATATAACATGCAGAGGTCATAGGAGTGGTATTTACCCTGTTATTTTTTTTTTTAAAAAAGGGGTAGAAAGAGCAAAATGAAACAATCTTGGCAAGTATTAAAAAGCAAGGAAACCTTAAGCATTTATGAAATGATTGTGAGGAAATAATTTAAAACAAGACTATAATACAGCCATTTTGACTTTCCTATTGTCTCTTTTTAGTTTTCTTTTGCTTCCCACAACTTTCTCTTGTCTGACTGATAAGAGATTAAAATGTTTCTCAGCCTCACTGAGCTGAAATGTTTCCAAGTATGTGAACATCTGTACAATTTCTTCACAAACAATTTAAAGCCGTATATACAGTATCAGTTCATTTACCAATGAATTGTGAACTTCATAGATCCTCTTATTAAATCATGTTTGCAGCAGTACCTTCCCAATGCCACTTGTTTTATGAAGTCCTATTCTATTTGCTAGCCTGGCCTACAATAAACTTGATGATTGAATCATGGTTGGAGTTAATCAGTAACTAATAATTCAAGAAATTCTAGATTGACTTTGCCACTGCTCATCTTGCGTAGTGGCATCAAGCGCAGTTAATTGGTTACATTAGTGCCACTGTGTATGAAGCTCCAACTCCCTCTTTTTTAATGTTCTCATATGATCACTCCCTCAAATGAAAAATATCTTATTCTTATATACAGTACAAATATGAATAATAAGTGATCGCAGACTGAAAGTTACTGTTTTACCTTATGCCAGTTTTCTGTGCCATAAAAGCATTAATGAATGCTGCCCATTTTTTTTGGATTTCTTTTCGTTGGATTGAATTGGATTCATAAAAGGTGAATTAGTTAACTTAGGAGGCAAGTTGAGTCAGGAAACTGAATCCTGCGGTTACCCTTCCAATGTGAAATATATTCACAAAGTTCTCATATTCAGTACTGGAAAGACGATTTTATCCTGGTGCATTTTCCCTCTTTTTTTTTCTGCAAGTGCTGTTCATTTGGTGCGGCATAAAGAAACCAGACAGAGGTTTGCCATGAAGAAGATTAACAAACAGAATATCATTCTTCGAAATCAGATTCAGCAGGCATTTGTTGAGCGTGATATCTTGACATTTGCAGAAAATCCATTTGTGGTCAGCATGTATTGTTCCTTTGAAACTAGACGCCATTTGTGTATGGTCATGGAATATGTAGAAGGTAAGATATTTGTTCTGGATCCAGTGAGAAGCACAATGTAATATTGAAACATGATACATTTGTTGGATTCCCATCCCTGAGTATATCATAAAAGGAAGAAATATCTAGTTTATAATTTCTTCATTTAAAATAATGATGCTTGGCAAAATCATGGTAAGGGACCATTTTAGCCCTAGGACCAAGTTTGGGAAGAGTCTTGATGGCCGCCTTGCAATTGCGAGGAAGACTAAGGGCATGGGATGGTGCCAAGCCAAAGCAGTTGTGGTTATTACCACAACTGCTTTGACTTGTCACCAGTTATTACCAATTTGGACTTCTTTCCATGAAGCATATAGAGAACAGCTCCATTCTAAGCACATGGAATCAGGATTAAGTTCTAATGCAACAACTTAAACAGTCAAAATCACAGTTCATTTCTCTGCATATCTATTCATATATAACTGAACCCCAGTAAGACTCACAGCTTCCTGTGCTGCAAAGTATAGTTCCATAGAATTAGCTCCCTGGATTTTAAATATTTTCTGATCTTCTGTTATTGACTGATCGTAGGAATATAAGGTGCTTCTGAGCCAAATGAACCCCAGTGGATCACTTATGGATTTGGGATCAGGGTTTCCTATACATTGATTTGGTATTTATAGAAAGCAAAGTTCAGCTCTCTAATCAGCTATGACCAACCTTACTATAGGCCTTGTTTATCTAACATGCCTTACAGGTTGTTCAGAGTATAAAGGAAGGGGCAGAACAAATTGCTTAACCTTTTATGTTAAATATATTTTTAAATATATTAGTCTTATTATTATTGTAGTAGTTCCAGTTTCGCTTCAGCAATAAAATATATCTTTCAAATACCCAAATGGAATCTTGAATTATTTGTTGGACTTGTGTTTTAGGTGGAGATTGTGCTACTTTACTGAAAAACATGGGTCCTCTGCCTGTAGACATGGCCAGGATGTATTTTGCAGAGACTGTTCTAGCACTGGAGTATCTTCACAACTATGGAATAGTGCACAGAGATTTGAAACCAGATAAGTATGTGTATAGTATGAAACTACAACAAAATAGTTGCCAAAGAATTTTATATGGAGAACATGACATTGTAGGGGAGATGGTTATCTCGAACTTACTGTATAAATTCAGAATACACAGTATGATCATAAAATAATCACGTGAATGTTTTATTTATAGTCAAATAATTTTAATTGTAATGAAGGTGTTGGATAAATCCTTTTTGATGTTTAATTTATTATGTTGGACTGAGTTTTAAGGGGGTAAAGGCAGAGAATAAATCTATCTACTCCAAAAGCAGGCAACAGTAGAAGAGAAAGAATAAAAACTTCCATCAGACCTATGCAGACACCAACATAGCCCAGCGGTGCTTTGGCTTTGACACAGCCACAAAGTAGTGCCCTTGACCCACACACTGATCCCACAGAATAAAACAAAGCAGCTCCCTTCATTAAAATATACACCTGTAACAGAACAACTACACAATAAATTAATTAAATAACAGTGTTAAAAGCACACACACACATGCACACCAGAACCCGAGAAAACAAGCCAATAGTGGCAAAAAATACAAGCAAAGGTCCTCCTCAAGTCAAGATGGCTAGAATATGGGGAGATTTCTCTTTCTCTCTTTGATACAAGAAAGAAAAGGATTTTAAAAAAAGATGGGGGTGGGGGTGGTGTTCCTAAAGAAATTAAATGGGAGAATGAAAAAAATAATTACAGGTACAAGGATGCATGGTGGCATGGCAGGTTCCTTAGTCGTAGCAGCACAGTCCCCTCCCCGAAAATCCAGAGGAGAAAAGGCAAAAAGGATCCAAGATAGGCCTGGGCGGAATGGCCTGGACAGCACAAGATGGGGATAGCAGGAGCTCTGCAGCACAAAGATCCCACCCACGAGGAATGCCTGAAGCAAAGATCATGCCTCACTAGATACTTATTAGAGATGGGCACGTTCTGAGCAGTTTGCTTATCAAGCTCACAGGTGTTGCATGGATCCCCTGGATTCTGTGCCCCATCTCCTCCCACGGACACCCCATCGTAAGCAACACAGTGAGCTTTCCCTGCTCCTCCTCCTCTGAGTGAGTGCCTGTGGGAGGAGGTGGAGCTTGGAATCTAGGATACTTGTGCAGCATATATGGACCCAATCCAGCAGACCACGTAAAACTGCTGAAAATGGCCATCTCTAGTGCTAACCAATGCACAGATTTCTACCACTTGAAAATTCCTGCTCCCCTTTCCTGTATGTTCTGAACGATTGTTGTCAGTAACCTGTGCAATGCTGTTGCTCAAACTTTCCTCACATTATTTGAGAAAGAATAAAAGAAAGGTTCAATGAAACAGGGAAACAAAAAAAAAAGTATAGGATTTTTGTGTAGCCCCTTTCATTAAAATGGATTATTTATGTTTAAGAGGCTCTTTTATTGAAACCAAAACAAGAACAGGAAAACAAAAATAAAAAGTTTCATTTTTTCTCTTTCGTGGGTCATTCTGTAGTCACGGTTCTTGATCTACTAACTGGCTCTGCTGTTATAAGACTGGCATTCTCAGCAATATTAGTCCAGTCTTCTGGAAGAAAAATCAGTGTAATACTGTGCATGCAATACTGTATTCTTGCCAATTATAATAGTTATATACTGAGCTTATTCCACGATGTCTACATACAGCATGTTATAACATAGTCTTAAAAATAGCTGCTGCAGAACATAGTAGATTATAGTAATTTACTATCATTCTTATTTTCAGTTTGTTAGTAACATCCATGGGACATATAAAGTTAACAGATTTTGGGCTGTCCAAAGTTGGTCTCATGAGCATGACCACCAACCTTTATGAAGGTCACATTGAAAAGGATGCTAGAGAATTTCTGGATAAGCAGGTACGGTTTCCACTTGTCTTGAAATAAGAAATTTGAAATGAAATGCATTGTAGAAATAATGCAGATTCCTTTTTATTTTTATAGTAATATTGAAAATATTCTTGTAAGAGTTTTCTTTACTGTTGAATTGCAAATTATTCTGTACTTTTTTTCTGCCATTATGGTCTGTTAGTAAGATGGACGATCTGACACTGAGCAAGTGAGGTTCTGAGAGAGAGACAAATGGAATGTTGTTTTTATAAAGAATTCAGGAGTCTCAGCAGAGTACTTGTGGAACTCATGATGCATTGTACAATCAAGGGTGCTAAAAATCCTAGCTATGGCCCATTTCCCTTTAAGCATGCCTCATTACCATTAGCCCACAATCTGTTCACTCTAGAAGTTACTTAAGGTAAAACCATTGAAGTTTCCATGATAAAATAAGTTTCAGTGTATGGTGTGAATAAGTGTGATTTATTATGATTTCATAGTAGTGAACAGCATATATAAAATATATTTCCATTTTGATAAATTCAGTCAAAGGCCTTCATTAATTTCATTAGAAAACATGAAATACAGATTTGGGGCGTATTGTGCCAGAACTGCTGTGATTTTTCTGATATGCTGTTAGAAATCAACAATAAACCTTTGCACAAAAATATTAAATTCACATTGTTTTTCTTCCTTTTAGGTCTGTGGCACACCAGAATATATAGCTCCAGAAGTAATCCTGAGGCAGGGTTATGGCAAACCAGTGGACTGGTGGTCTATGGGAATTATCCTTTATGAATTTCTCGTTGGGTGTGTGCCATTTTTTGGGGATACACCAGAGGAATTATTTGGACAAGTAATCAGTGGTAAATACCGCAAAGCTGAAATTGTTACCATTATATACTTACCAACCATGCACTGTACAGAAGGCCACTAGGTCAGCCTTAAACTCTCAGGCAGGTCTTTGTTGCTTTGAGGAAAACAGCCCTCTTTTCTGTATAAGAAACAATAACATTTGTATTTTTCTTAAGTTCCATGACACCTAGCAGAAAGTTGTAATTTGAAGTCAATGAATCATCATCAGCAGCATGGTGTATTATATACAGCTTTCTCCATATGTAGTATTATTTTTATTTATTTACATAACGTTGAAAACAATGAACAAACGGTCGTCACCTTCATTAGAAGACAATACAGTGCTGCCTCGCTTCGCGATGTTAATCCGTGCAGCAAAAATCGCTGCTAAGCGATAACATCGCTAAACGATATTAAAAAGCCCATAGAAACGCATTAAAACGCCATTAATGCGTTCCTATGGGCTAAAAACTAACCTTTAAGTGAAGCTCCTCCATACGGCGGCCATTTTGGCTGCCTCTTAAGCGAGGAATCCATCCCTAAACACAGCGGGCGACCATTTTGTTTACCCGGCAGCCATTTTGGAGCCGCAAATCAGCTGGCTGAAAATGGGGGCATTGCGATGATTGCTTCCCTGCGATCATCGCAAAGCAAAATTTCCCCATAGGGAACATCGCAAAACGATTGCTTTTGCGATCACAAAAACATTGTCGCAAAGCGATTTCTTCGTTAAACGGAGCGATCGCTATGCGAGGCACCACTGTATTTAAAACTGCAGACAGTGAATAAGGAGGCAACTTACAACATTAACAGGCAATATTAAGGCAAAGATCAATAAATATACAGGAAAAAGGCACTCTGAGAAATGGAAAACACAAAAATGGAAAACACAAGTAGTACTAAAAATCTAGTCAAAGCAGTAATGTATAGCAATCCATCTAAAAATCACACACAGGTCACTGGTTTACTGAGGGAAGGCTTGCCTGAGGACAAAGATCTTTGCCTACTTGCGGAAGAATAGCAAAAATGGGGCCTCCTGTTGGAGGGAGTTCAAAAGTCTGTGTGCTGCAATAGAGAAGGCTCTCTCCTGTGTCCCCATCAGGCGCACCTATGAAGGTGGCCGGACTGAGAGAAAGGCTTCTCCTGATTATCTTAACACTCAAGTCGGCTCATAATGGGAGATACGATGTTTGAGATAGCTTGGACTCAGACCATTTAGGGCTTTATAGTTTAAAACCAGCACTGTAAATTGTGCCTGGTAACTGATCGGCAGCCAGCGGAGCTGCTGTAACAGGGGTTATGTGATCCCTGTAAGCAGCCCCAGTCAACATTCTGGCTGCTGCATTTTAGACCCGTTGAAGTTTCCTGACACTTTCTATTGGAAGCCCCACATAGAGCTCATTACAATAATCCAGCTGGGGAGTAACTACGGTGTGTATCACAGTGGCCTGATCAGGTATCTCAAGAAATGGACGTAGCTGGCGCACTAGTTTAATTTTGCAGATACACTCCTGGTAAATGCATTCCTGGCCAACTCAACAACGTAAAATATGACTATCAAAATGCAGCTAACCCCTTAATTCTAGAAAACCTATACAAATTATAATGTCTGGATGTTCAAAAATGTTGTGGCCTTGTGCTGGAATGATTGCAATGTGGGTGCCAGTTGAGTCCTCTCTGTATCATGTACACAACTTTCATCCACCCTAAGATAGCATGACTCCGTGCTTTCATCAAATCCTTTGGCTTCCCAATTTCCAGTCAATTCCATGGAAAGTGCTCTTTTCTCACTGTATTGCTATGACAAAGCAAAAAACTATATCAGAAATGCTGGTCTCATTCTTTCTTCAGTAGGAAAGAGAGTGATAACAAATTTTGTCACACACTCCCAATGATGAGGGATTATCTGGGATGTGTAAATATTTGGATATGCCTGTGATCCTTATTTATTTATTTATTGGACTTATTTATTTATTGGACTTATATACCGCCCCATAGCGCTACAAGCACTCTCCGGGCAGTTTACAATTTAATTATACAGGCTACACATTGCCCCCCCAGCAAGCTTGGGTACTCATTTTACCAACCTCGGAAGGATAGGGATTTGAACCCCAGGTCGTGAGCACAGTTTTAGCTGCAGTACAGCGTTGTAACCACTGCGCCACGGGGCTCCTTGAGCTACTGTTGGGGATTCCTGCTCTGTAAGGGGGACGAATTTGGGGTGACTTTGCTAGAGAAAACCTTTTAACTGCACTACTCATAAAAACACTTCAAAAAGTCATTAGCAGACCTAAATAGATGAATAATTGAAGCAATTCTTGGCTGCATACTTAATCTTACTCAGAAAGGCAAATTGCATCCCAAGGCCATTTTGGTGACTTTGAATGTCTTCTTTTTCTTTCCCACCTAAAATTTCCAGATGTTAGAAGCCCCTTGGATTGGTGGCTCTGCAATAAATGACATACAAGTCTTCCCATTGCCCCTCACAACTCCAAACTCATAGAAACTAAACTGGAACTCAGCTTCCAGCAACAGTTCATTCATTCATTCGTTTGTTCGTTCGTTCATTCATGTGTTCATTCATTCATTCATGTGTTCATTCATTCATTCATTCATTCATTCATTCATTTTGCACATTTGTGCTGATTTCCAGGGCTAGTACAGCCCCTAGTAGATCCTAGGGATGGAAAATAGGTCCCTGAATCTTGTGAAGTATCCACTGGTCTAAAGCACTGGATATCAAAGGAACTGGAAAGAGTAAAAAGAATAAGCCAATACTGTATATGAAAAATAAAATCAGAAGATGTAACAACAATGGTGCTGGTGGCGGGGGGGAGATGGAAATGGCTTTTTAAAAACTGTAGCTGGTTCGTTAACAGTTTTCAAATCAGTACAGCCTCTTAAGCTTAAAAAAATATGAAAAGAAGTTCATGTGCACTTAATTTGCATAAATGAGAAAATGCCTATGGCACAATGCTTTAAATTAATGGAAATGTAATAAAACCCTAAAACAAATGTCTCCCAAATAATAAATAATGGGGCAAAGAAGGACTCAAATGTCGTTCACAGATTGTTAATGATTTCACTGCTGGTGTTACAGTGTAATGTTATTTCTGTAACAGCTGTTCTTCTTTCATTTAAAATTCAATAACCTTTTAGATCTTAACCTCCAGGCTGACCCTAAGTATAGTGATGCAGTTTCTGGCAAAACTAAATGATAATTAAACAGTATCTATTAGTTTCTACCTGCTGTTCTCATGAATTTTCCAGATGCGTAGATATATACAGCCACTGTTTATGCCAAATAGTTACCAGAATGATGTCTTCGTTACTGACAATTGCCCAATCTATTTCACAAAATATGGTGAGACATTCCACTAGTGAAGGTGGCTGGACAAATTGCAATTCTGTATACAAAACAATACTGTATTTCCTCATCCAGATAGAGATTTGTAAGTGGGTTGCTTATAATAAAAAAACTTGTTTATACAGTTTACTGGCTTCTTTTGGATGTATAAACATACTTTTTCTAAATGAAATATTTAATTAACACACATTGGAAGTAACGGATTTGTTTTTTATTCCTTAGGGCAGCAATACATACATATTTTATTTTTCAATTCATGTTTAAATGACATCAGAAACTGAAGGGAAGCAAGTATAGGTTTAGTTCTCACATCTTACATGGTTACACATGTCAGTGAATACACATAATATTTTATTGTTGAAGGCTTTCATGGCTGGGATTCGATGGTTGTTGTGGGTTTTCTGGGCTGTTTGGCCATGTTCTTAATTTTTCTTCCTAATGTTTCGCCAGTCTCTGTGGCCGGCATCTTTAGAGGATAGAGTCAGAACTCTGTCTATGTTCTGTTGCAGTTTCTTGGATAGTTGAGTATTTATAGCTGTGGGATCAGCTTTTGTCCATTTCAGGAGATTGGGTGATTATGGTGATCAGCGTGTTTTTTGTTGTGGGTATATTGTTGTGATAAGGGGGAGAGATGATCTATCACTGTGATAGATGGGTGTTGTTAGCTGGTCTTTTGTGTGCAGTGATCACTGGTCCTTGTGGCTGGGTAGAGGTTGTTGACCTTTTGCATGCTCTGTTTTTCAGTGCTGGGAGCCAGGCTTTGTTGAGTTTTAAACTTTCTTCTTTTTTGTTGAAGCTCTGATGGTGTTTCTGGATTTCAGTGGCTTTCCTGTGCAGTCTAACATAATGATTCCATTTTTGTGTTTTCCATTCTCAGAGTGCCTTTTTTCTATATAGTTAGTGATCTTTGCCTTAATATCGCCTGTTAATGTTGTAAGTTGGCTCCTTATTCATTGTTTGTAGTTTTAAATATTGTCTTCTAATGAAGGTAACTACTGTTCAATGTTTTCAACTTTAAATATTGTCTTTCATTGTTGTAAGCAGCCTTGGGTCCTTTTCAAGGAGAAAGCGCAAAGATATTGTAAATAAATAAATAAAATAAATACTACATATGGAGAAGTCTGTATATAATGCACCATGCTGCTGCTGCTGATTCATTAACTTCAAATTACAACTTTCTGGTAGGTGTCATGGAACTTAAGAAAAATACAAATGTCATTTTATTTCCTGATTTTAGTTGAAGATTTAACAAACTAGTTTGTATTGGTTGTATTTAGCACAGCATATACATCGTTCAGTTTCTCCTACATCCAAAACCACTCCCTAAATCTGCTTCAGATTGCTGAGAGGTTTCTGGAATAGATTTGAAGGGATACCGGAAGTTGCTTCAGGGCAGGAGGAAATTCTAATGTTCATGTTGAGGTCTGCCTAAGCAGTGTTGGCAATAGTCTTACTCCTGTCATTTGCAGTTTCATAATCCTGTGATACCTGCTGGGCCACAAGATAGATCCACTGCCCATCACTGAGACCTGCCATTTCAGTTTTTCCCTTTACTGTAATTTTGTCAGTATGAATAGAAAGGGTTTACTGGCAAGGCTGCACAACTCAAAAGTACAGTAGTGTGCTAGAATATATCTAAAACAGATACACAAATTGTAATTATCTTTCTGCTAGATGAGATCAACTGGCCTGAAAAAGATGAAGCACCACCCCCTGATGCCCAGGATCTGATTACTTTCCTTCTGAGGCAGAACCCGTTGGAGAGACTGGGAACAGGTTAGAAAGCTTAACTTTTATATAAGAGTTCTAAAAGTAAGGGTTCTTTAATTTATAGCTCTTTTTTTTGGTCTAAAATACGTCTGCTAGGGACTGAAGTTATAAGCATGCATTTCATTAGAAGTATCTACTGTTTTGCTGATTCAGAGAATATCTTACAAGTATTATTTAAACAAATTCCATCTTGTACATTTGTTGTCATGCTGTAATTTATTTTTAGTATACATTACTAAATACTGATACTGCTTTTTACTCACTAAACACTTTCTTGAACAGTACCTGCTGAGCCCATGGAAGCCGTTCTGCAATTAATGCAAATATCCGAGATCCTGTTTTTGAAAAGGGCTCAGTCTAGGAGAAAATACTTAATCAGTGTGGATTTGTACACATGTGCAGTTGTAATTTTTCTCATAGGCAGAAGGCTTCCTGTCTGCAAAATATGCAAAAATAGGAAATTCCACCATAAAAAAATACTTAACAGACTGAGAAATCTGCCATCAAAACTCTTGTTATTCATAAGCTGAAATTGTGTTGCACAGCTCAATGTGTACAGTGGTGATGACATCCACAGTGGTGCTATATAGCTTCCAATTAAGGGCTTCCTTTGATGATTTCAAGGTACAGACAACTTTCTTGCATTATGTACAAGTCATATGCACCCCAAAATCTTCTATAATGAGTGTTGATTTGCTGGTGGCCGTGGCGTAATCCCCATTCTGCCCACAGAGCTATGCAATACAATTTCAGCTGTAGACTTTATTTTTACTTACAAACATTTTAGGCAAACCATATTAGAAAAGAAATGTAGATGTTTTAACATATACATGACTGTAGAAGAAGGATGTAAATTTTTGCTTATTCCATTTTCACAATGGGAATAGAAAGTTTAAAAAGTAGCTTCAACTAGATAAAATAGCAGCAATTTGTGGGGAGGGATTGCCTTTCAGAGTCCTTCCCCCCGCCCCAAATAAAACACTGCAGAAGTATTGTTCATGGAAAAAAGCCATGCTATTTTGTACAAGATGTGAAGTTCTGTGCCCAAATCCATGTTTTTGACTAACGCTGCTGGTGACCCAACAAATGATGATCTTGTTATGCGGCAGAACTGAAAAATCCCATCATAGTTGATCATTTTTGAAGGCTAAAATATTTTTGAATGTTTGCAACATCCATGCAGAATAAATTTAGAGAAGTAGTCAAAAGGGATTTATCTTTCCCCTTGCCCAACAGGTGGTGCGTATGAGGTAAAACAACACCAGTTCTTTCAGCACTTAGACTGGAATAGCTTACTGAGACAGAAGGCAGAATTTATACCTCAACTAGAATCTGAAGACGACACAAGCTACTTTGACAGTATGTATGTTTTTTGTTATACAGTATCTGACATTTCACTTATATTTTGGGGTTGTTTTTTTGTTTTTTGTTTGTTTATTGCAACTAAACCTTGATTTTTAAAAATATATATTTTAAAATAGAAAAGGTTGATGCATTTCTTTGCTGGATTGATTAAACTTTATCTAAGTAAAATTATTTTTTCAGTTAGTTTTTAATGTAATGAAAAAATTATGTATTATTGTACAGCTCGTTCTGAAAAATATCATCATATGGAAACAGAAGAGGAAGATGATACAAATGATGAAGACTTCAATTTGGAGATAAGGCAGTTTTCCTCATGTTCACATCGATTTTCGAAAGTAAGTTTATGCATGTAGACACACATTGAATCGCAACCTATTTGCATGAATGACACATACTGAATAGAAGAAAAACTGCAAATGAATTTTTGTGAGTTATTTTCTAAATATAGGATTTTCAACTTTTTTAAACTACAGCTACCACACTTTGGCAGGAATTCCAGTAACATTAGCCAAAATAATCCAAGTTGTCACTGTTTCAGGATACATACTTGTTCTTTGCCAAGGAACGACGAATGCTGAGGCATTAAGGGCATGGGTGGATTGAACCCATGCCCTTCTCCATGCTTTAGTGGCCATGGCTGCAAAGAGAGCCCTGGTGAAGAACAGGTGTGCATCCTAAAACTCTGACAATTTGGATCTTTTATTTTTGGCTAAATCTGGTTAGGCGAATTCCTGCTGAATTCTGGTAGCTATGAAGAAAAAAAATTCCAAAAATCAATCCCCCCCCCCTGTAAATATAAGGGCATCTTTTATAGCATCATGTTTCCTTCCTGTAATTTAATTGTCTACTGCCAAGTCATTTCTGACTTATGGTGGTCCTTTAAGGTTTTCTAGGTAGAGAGTACTCAGAACTGGTGTACCATTCCCTTCTTCCAGGGGGCTCCCTGGGCCTGTTCAGCTTAGCCAAAGCCAGACAGACTGGCTCTTCTGAGATGCACAGTGGGGAACTGAACTCCCATCCTCTGGTTCCACAGCTGGATGCCTAAATCACTGAGCTATGGAACCAACCCTTTCTGTAAATATTCCTATAATAAACGTAGCATTGTTAGTTGGCCTGGGAAAATAAAGAATAATTTATCTGAGAGAGAAAAAAATGTAAAGGTCAACATTAATCATGTTAGTTCCTTTAGTCTCCCGTGCACCAAATCCTTGGCTAGGATTCTATTGAATTCCACACAACAGTTTGTCAAGAAATCAATAAGGCCCATCCAGATTTGCTGCTGTCTCAATTTATCATATTTCCAAACATGACACTATGAGATCAAACTGGGAGTAATTATGAGCATAGTTTTAAAATTTGCAAGTGAGGAAGTAGCAAAGTAGAAGAGAGCATCGGAATATCAATGGAAGTAAGAGCTAATATTTATATCTATGTTTAGTGTTATTCTAATGAGAGTAAATTTTTGAAGCTGCAAGTAACATTATTGCAAATTGCAGGCAGTTAATGACATCATTTAAATATCTTTTTCTTGCAAGTAAGGGATGTAGCATATTTTAAACCTCTTAAAATATATATTTTTAAAATGCAACTGCTTTTCCATTACCCTCCTAAAATTTTTTAGTATGGTATATGACTATAAGTAATTAAATATACTCAGATGGACAATATATAGTGTTTTAATATGCTTTTTGCAGAAGATGGTTCAGTAAAAGGTGGTTTGAAAAAGAAGTATCTGTTCCTCTTACTCTTAGATATATGCTTCTCCATCTGTAGTAATCCATAATCCCCATTCATCTCTATAGGAAATTTAAGAATGGGTAAGTGAGAAAGGCAAGAGAAGGTCTTGCTTTCTATGTAGTGATATGAAACCTTTGTCATGACTTGGCAGCAGGAATCCATTTCTTAAACAGCAAGGGGCATTTAAATCTTCTCTTTGCAGATAGCTTCTGTGCGTTTGCAAGATAGTGTGCCAAAAGAATAGCCAGATACTGATACCTTGTAGCTTCCCTTTTTTTCACTGTAAGCAAACTCAATATGTAGGTTGTCAGATAAACAACTGGCTTTTTATGACCAGTTTCTTCCCTTCCTAATCTTTTACTCAAGTAATTTATTCTCATCATTTCAGTCAAGCTCACTTCGCTTTTCCTCCTGCATGCACTCCTGACTGATGGCCATTACATGATTTACTGGGATTTCCTTTTTTTAAAAGGTTTTATGGAAAAGAAATAATCTGAAATGTACATAAATTCTGTGTTTACAAATACTGAAGCATGTATGGATTTTGAACACTGGCCCATAGTTCATATACTCAGAAGGTTGAAATGAGATGAATTCATGACATAAAAGATGCTATTAGCTATCCTGTTGCTTGGCAGAGAGAGCAAGGAGAGCAGAACTGAAAATCATTTTTAAAATAGTACCTCCTGCAACTTCATTCATCATCTGACAAAGTGCTTTAAAACCCCAGGATACTGCCTATAAGTATTTAGAGCCTGCAGTGCCCTGCATGATATGTATTTTTCTGAAGTTCATTTAGATACAAACAACTCCAAGCAATCAATTCTTTTGCCCCCATGCCCAGGTTTTTAGTACTATAGATCGAGTAACTCGAAATCAAACTGAAGAGAGGGAAGATACAACTGAGAGAACAAAAAATGTGACACTGACATCTGCAGAATCATTAAGTTGGAACTCAGAATATACTGAAATGTAAGTATTTCATACATGCATACTGCTACTGCCATGGCATATTTATTATATGCTATTTTCCTAATCATCGCATGAAAAAATTGAGATTGAGTTGTAATTTTTAAATTTATTTTATTTAAAATATTATTAACCCACCTTTCTCCTATAAAAGGACCCAAAGCAGGATACAACAATTAAAAGTGGCATACAACAATCCCGGCCATGAAAGCCTTTGAGAAGACAATTAAAAGACAGTATATAAGTTACTAGTAATGAATATACAATACTTAAATGAATACAATACCAAAAACATACTCAAAACACCAAAACACATTCAGTGCTGTAAAGTACAACAATCCATTTTAAAAACCCCACTTGGCTTGCAGAATTCTGAGAAAGGTCTTTACCTGCTTGCAGAAGGACAGCAAAGATAGGGCCAGTCAAGCCTCCTGTGGGAGGGAATTCCAGACTCTGGGAGCAGCAACTGAAAAGGCTGCTCTTGTGTCCCCACCAAATACACCTGTGAAGTTGACGGAAATTAGAGAGAGGCCTCTTCTGATGATTTTAACACTTGAGCAGGTTCATAAATGGAGAGGTGATCCTTGAGATGGTTTGAGCCCAAACTGTTTAGGGCTTTATAGGTTACAAACATCACTTTGAATTCTGCCTGGAAATGAATCAGCAGACAGTGAAGCTGCTGTGTCATCTCTGTGTCCAGCCTTAGTTGGCAATCTGGCTGCTGCGTTTTGGATTCACTGAATTTTCCTGACACTTTTCATAGGTAGACCCACATAGAGTGTGTTACAGTAATCCAGCCAGGATGTAACTGCAACATGTGTCATTGGGACCAGATCAGACCTTCCCAGTCATGGCTAGGCACTGAGCCTCATGAGATGAAAATTAAGTGCACTGATTATTTAAAAGTATTTGATTAATGCTTCTGTTTCCAACCTTAGTGTGTTCCTTAGTGTGTACCTCTGGAGTTTAATGAAGCAATGTGAATATTTAAATGTAGACTACAAATATGTGTCCTGTATGTCTAGGCAACATCGCAATTCAGGTGTTCTTCCAAAATTGGCTATATCAGCTGAAGTAGAACAAGAAGAAACTCCACGCTCTACTGGACCCCATAAAGATCAAGAGAAGGCTGCATTTCTGAGTGAAGAAACTATTCAAGATGAACTGGAGGTAACAACTCCAGCAAGCACAATCAGTAGCACCACATTGTCAGGTAGGACAAACAAGTCTGGTCCTTGTGATAAAAGTGTCATGTTTTGTGCAATCAAAAATTCTAGGTGTAGGCAAAATAACCCTTCTCTCCAAATTCCAGGACCAACATTTTATCTTAACTTCAAAGCCAAACTTTGAAATTAAGGTCAAGTGCATTTTTCAGAAACACAGCTGATTTTTTTAATAGCAGGATGATTTTTATTGAAATGACTGTATGCAAGAAGATAGGGCTTCTATTTTTTTTTCCAGTGACAATGTGGGCATTTTGACTATTGTTTTTGTAACTATGACAAGGGAGGAAGGGTTAAGCTGTATTCACAAGGTTAGGCTTTTATTTCCCCCTTCAAAAAACTTGGTTGCCCCACCCCAAAGACCAGAGTTGGATGAAAACCTTTAGGCCATTTACAGGACTTTTCAAAGTGTTTTGATATTTTTGTGTCCAAGGCATCCCCTGCTCCACTCTCTTTATGCTCACACTCCATTTTATTGGAGCTTTGGTATTGGGGAAGAAGGACCTGCCAATATTCTGCATGATTAGGGAATTAGTATCCAAGATCAGAGGCCTGCGCTATCCCATGTCCCCTGCAGTGCCATCTCAGGGGCCACTCTTTGTGTCACATGTGGTTTGCCTCTGAAGAGTGTCCCTTGTGAACGCTGATGTGAAGGGGTTCATGCAAAAAAACAAATCCAGTATCTTTCTGAAATGTTTTATAACCCTAAATGCAGGGGTTCCAAAACTGTGTGCTGTGGCTCTAGGGGGCACTGTGAATTCCAGGCAGGGGTGCCACAGGAAAATGGATGGAGCATATAGTTATGAAGGGTATAGGGGAGCTGTTCATGGCTTTATGAACAGCTCCTGTGCAGGTTTTATAGCTCTGTGAACAGTTCCTCTATTCTGACTAACAAGAACAGGAAGTGGAGGTTGTGTGGCCACCTCTCTTTTCCCCATGTGCATGGTACCAAGTGGAAGTGCTTGTCAGTTAACGTTGGGAGTTTCCTGTGCTAGGACCTGGAAGGAGGTGGGCCCTCAGGGATAAGACGATGGAGGAGGAAATGGGATGTCTGGGAGGGGGATCAAGTTCCTGCTCCTGGTGGGAGAGAGAGCCCTGGTGGGGGCCTCTGAGCAAAGGGAGCTGCAGGCAGTAGTCAGAAAACGAAGGGACCCATGAGGCCAAAATATTTGGGAACCACTGTCCTAAATGGAATGTTCAGAACGTGTAGCACATCTTTTTAAAACATCTATAAGAAAGCTCTGAGTTTGGCCTGGAACAGAATAGTTGTGGGACCCTCATAATGTCCGGTTGGAATCTGGGCTAAACCTGAAATTTAGCTGTTAACAATCATTTTGAAGATTTTTTTCTGAATATTTTGCTTTAGGCACAGAATATATCAATGTGTTGGCATAACTAAATTAAATTAATACTTCCTAGTATGGCCATAGTTAAAATTTCCAGTATTCTCCTTGCGCCAACCAGGCTCTTCAGAAATACTGTTAAGAGACAACAGTGTTCTGTATAGTGTATACATGTAGCATTTAACTGTATGCTTAACTAATCTCTGATTTGCTAGTGCCTGCCAAATCATTTTCCATGTGGAGAATGCTTAGTGCATCCTGTCTCCTCATTTCATTTTTTTTTCATTTGGCCTGTTCAAGTCTTATCTACCCTGCTGTTTCCAGCAACTGACCACAGGAGGACCTAGACCCTCCCATCTACATCATCTGTTTCTACCTGTAGAGAGTAATGTGCCTCCAGAGAAGATGTTTCTTGTCAAATTTAGGCTGTCTATGCCAAGCACGAGCCCTGTTCTTCCAGGGTTCTTGTTCACAATGAGAGCCTACATGCAAGCAGGAACCTCTAATCTTTAGGCGCATCACTTTCCACATGGAGAAAGCAATAACAGACTAGGGAATGGCTAGGCAGTCCTTTACCTATGTGTTGTAAATTCTTGAATAGGGCTGTTACATTATATAGTCCTATGTGATCCATAAATGGCATCATAATACATAAGGGACTTCTCAATTTTTGTCGTAGGAACTACAGATCATCTATTATCAGCATTTATGGGGGGAAAGATAGGAATAAATTCAAGTAATTAAAAATTCCAAATGGTTTAAACAGTTATAAAGCTTCATCAACACAAAACAAAAAACTAATAAAAAGCTGGACGACTTCTTTGTGGCATCTGTGGATGTACACAAATTGGTTTTACTGCACCTGCGCAGGACTTCTCGGAATATTCTAGAGCTTTAAAAGACGTGATTAGTAGGACGTTGCCTCATGCTCCACCTGTCTGTAATACCTCAGTTCCTTTTAGCTGCCGCTATAATTGGACTTCTCTGTGATTCCTAGAGCTATTTGTGATTTGTGATATCTACGGTTTTCTGATTTTTGGATTGCTTTACAGTTTTCGATTCTTGGATTACAAATTTAATCAAGTCTTTTATTTACATATGTTCCCTGTGCGTTATCTTTCTTTGTATTCCCCCTTCCCCCTCCCTTTCTGCCCCTTTTTATGGCCTCCTCAGGCCCATTCAAGTGCTGCACGACGTGTGCCAATAAAATTCCTTTTAACTGATGGCTGCGATGGTTGCTTGTTCTGTGTGGGCGAGAGTCACCAAACTCAAACTTGTCCGGAGTGTAAAAAGTTAACAAAACCAGCTTTAAAACTCTGGCTTCAAAGACCAAGGTCCCACTTGTGAGAAAAATCTTTGGCACCTTCCAATCTGCCAACCAGCCCCACAATGGAACTTACCCCAGTTCCAGCATCTCGATCTGAGTCTTCCATCCTGTTGGCTCCTATGACTCCCTTGCTGAGGTTTTCTACCAAGACTTCCAAGACTAAATCTCCATTGCAGCCTCGATGTCGAAGTCTTCTTCTGTGTCGGCGTAGACTCAATCTGTTAAAAAGCAAAGGGATAAGGCCATTTGTCCATGTCTCCCTCCTTTCTCCCATCCTAGAGGAATTGTCAAGGGACATGTCAGATCAAGGCTCCATTTCTGAAGCAGGGGAATCGAATCTTCCTACTCGGGCTCAAGCTTCAGTTGCAATACCAAGCTTGTCGCCAAGTCATGGCCCTCAGATCAGGGCTCCATTTCTGAAGCAGGGGAATTGAATCTTCCTACTCGGGCTCAAGCTTCGGTTGCAATACCAAACTTGTCGCCAAGTCATGGCCGTTCTGAGGCTGATATCATATCCAGCCCTGCCTTGGCCCATTCTAGCCCTGTTTCGACCAGGCGGGTGACTCTGATCTGGTGGCCCTTCACATGGCTACAGAGAACAACGAGGTTGCCGACCGTCTGAGCCATCTTACCACCCAAACCCACGAGTGGGCCCTCAACGACACCATCTTCTCTCTTCTCTGCAGTTGATGGGGGACACCAGGTCTTGACGTCTTTGCCACCCAGGTCAACTTCAAATGCAGCAGATACTACTCACGGGTAGGAAGAGGAGATAACACTCTAAGCAACACTTTCATGGTGGACTGGGGCGACAGTCTCCTTGATCTCTTTCCATCCATTCCATTCATCCAGCGAACGATAGTCAGACTCCGTCAGCTGGTTCTAGATGCCATTCTAGTAGCACCATGGTGGCCTCAACAACTGTGGTTCACCACTCTCAGAGCCATGGCTACTGACTTCCTGAGGTTACCTCTTCAACCTTCTGACTCAGGTCTGACAAAGGTCAGATTTGTTATCCCAACCTCAACTCTCTACACCTCACTGTGTGGAGAATTCCCCCAACGTGGCTAAAGTCTTAAATAGGGCTAGGAAGCCCTCTACTCAGTCGCTCTATTCGTATAAGTGGAACACTTTCATCAGGTTTGCTGCATCGCGGAGATTGCCCACGGTTCCTGTCTCCTTGGACACCCTTCTCAAGTTCCTTCGTTATTTGTTTGACCAAGGTTTGGCTCATTCAATGAAATTTATATTTCTGCGATAGTTTCATATCAGCCTGAGGGGTCTGAGTCCTCTCGTTTATTTTCTCATCCTACCTTGAAGAGATTTCTGAGAGGTTTGCGGAACATGCGCCCACCTCCACGACCTCCACTTCCACAGTGGTCTCTCCAGGTTGTTCTCCGTGCACTTGCTCGTCCACTGTTTGAGCCTATTGCTTTGGCACATCTAACACTTCTTTCTATCAAGACTTTGTTCCTGCCTATAACTTCTGCATGTTGAGCAAGCAAGCTGTCCGCTCTTCAAGCTGATGCCCCTTACATTCACTTTTATCCCGACAGAGTTGTCTTGTATCTAGATGTGTCCTTTCTTCCCAAAGTGATTTCTGATTTACATGTTAATCAACCTCTAATTCTTCCAACGTTATTTCCAAGTCCCTCTTCTGATGTTGAGCACATGCTCCACTCCCTTGACGTTCGTCGGGCCTTAGCATTTTACATTTCTAGGACTAAGGAATTTCGCACTTCCCCCAGACTTTTTGTGTGCTTCCATGGCCCATAAAAGGGCTCTCCTGCCTCCTTGCAGACAGTCTCGAGGTGGATTGTCTCTGCTATTACTTTAGCTTATGATTTGCCAGGCAAGACTCCACCAGAAGTGCTGAAGGCGCACTGTACGAGAGCTATGGCTCAATGCTGAACCACACCTCAGTGCTAGCTTGACCTTCTTCACTAGCTGCTGCTACATATGATACAAAGTTGCCTGACGTTGCCCCTCCTCCGCTGCTTAATACCAATTTCCTGTTGCTTAATCTGGGTGTCCAAGAGGGTTGCTAGAATGTACTCCTCCTACATCCACAAGGAGGAAAACCTGTAGTGGAACCTAGACTGACCCCTTATTATGCCTTCCATGATGCCAACCAAGCCCTGGAATATTGGAATCACCTGCTAAGGATGGCTGTCACACCACACCAGAATTCTTATAATAAGAAAATATAAAATTAAAACACTCCTAAGTGTGTGTGTTTTTCTGGGGGAAATGGAAAATTTCTGAAATTTTAAATTTCTACTCCCCACTGAGGACCTGCTTTGCAGGACCTGACCCATAATGTCCCTTTCTTCTCTGCCCAGAGGCGCACTCACACCAATGAGAGTCCCTAATGCCAAAACATGGAGTGCCCTTTGCTTAGGGTTGCCAAATAGATGGCTACCGAAAGGAGGACATAGAAAGACAAAAAAGAGGACAGAGGAGGATGTATTGAATGTTTCATTTGAATCGTTCCAGATTAAACCCGCAATCAATACAATTTTATTACAATAGCTGCTAATAAATGTCTCTTAGTGAACCGACCAAGAAACCGTCATATTAAAAAATAAAAATAAATTAAATGGAGGCTTTTCCCCCCAAAATACCAAAAAACATTATTTAAACAGCCAATTGTACTATTACCTTATAATCTTTATGAATTACACAATATATTTCTCGGAGGAGCAAACTTTTCCCAGATTTTCATTAACAATCACATATACATAAAACTGTTTACAGATACTATTCTTCAAATTGTACTTCTGATTAGGAGCAAAGCAAATAAACCCAAACCGCCCCAGCCCAGCTGCAGGATCCCTTGGCCGCTCACACTCTGCACAGGCTCAGAGGCAACCTTGCTAATCTGGATGCCCAAACAAGGCACTGCCACAGGCAGGGGGAAAGTGATGCCAGGCAAAGCAGAACGATTCAGCCTCCCCTCTCTCGAGGGCCATAAGTTCAAGGCTGGGGAGTGTGGGAGTTGGAGTCCCCAAAAGGGACTTAGAACATACACAATCCGGGCGCTTGCCTTCCCATCGATGCGCTCGGGCGCTGCTTGCTCCTGCCTGGCTTAGCGGGTGGTGTTCCACTCACACTGCCTATCTGGGCTCCACGTGGGCTGGGCGGGCATGGCGGATCGCCAAGCAGCTGCAGCAACAGCAGGAGGGGGCAAGGGCTGCACTCTGGCGGCAGGTAACAGGGAACGGGCAGGTGGGGGCAGGGAAAGACAGGGGGAGGGGGTCCTTCCACCCCTCTCCCTTCCATCCAAAATTATAACATAAAAAATACAAAAGCTGGACATTTTAAATGTTTTTATCTTTGCCTGCCAAACAGAAGACATTAGCCGGACATCTGGCAACCCTACCTTTGTTGCTCCAGCACTCTTTCAAGCAGATAGAAAGTGAAGTTCTATTGAGTTGCCATGTCCTAAAGTAGGTATTACAGTGATAATCCCAATTTTTCTTGCCTCTGCTGCTCCAGACGCTGTGGTGAAAATGATTCGCCACTGTTGTGGCCCACTCAACATTATGACTTTCCTGATCCCCCTAACTGAATGATGTGTTATTTAAACCCACTGCTTTTGTAGGCATTAGTTTTGTTTTTTGTTTTTTAAAATAGGTTCATCTTTATTAAGTCCCAAATGTTGTGAAATTCTTCTTCTGGGCTAGTGCAAACATTAACCATAGGTGTAATATCAGCTTTAATGAGCATCTCTCAACTTGCAAATAAGCTCTGTGCCTTGGTTTCATGAGGCATCTATCACTTCCAAATCATAGTTAAGAGCAAGTTAACATAGCTTTTGTAATTAGGGTCATGATTGTCAAATGTGATATTGAGACAAAGGAATTATGGTAGAATTTTGGCTGTGAAAGAGGAAGGCAGATGTTTGCTCTTAATCCCCAGACTTTATAAGAGTTATATCTGTGTAGGTCCCAGATCTATCTTACTACATTAATTTGTTACCAAAAGAATGATTTCTCACCTTGCTTTCCTGAATAGTTTTCTGAATTCTACGTTTATTTTTTTAAATCCTTTTCTTCTGTGCAGTTGGTAGTTTTTCAGACCACTTGGATCAGATAAATGGAAGAAATGAGAGTGTGGATAACACAGATAATTTCTCAAAGCCACCCGCTGATCAAGCATCTCATGTGGCTCGTCAGCGATTAGAAACTACAGAGAAAAAGAAAATATCTGGAAAAGTCACAAAATCTCTTTCGGCCAGTGCTCTGTCCCTTATGATACCAGGAGGTAAAGATTGTGAATATTATGTTCTCTTCTTTTCTGTATGCGTTACAATTTCAGTACAGTAGTTCGCACTAAAATGAATCCCAGATTTCCATGCTTCCCTTGGCATTTTAATGTGAACATGCACAGTAATTAAACCTGTAAACTATTCAATTTATTGTTATTAGTCATGCTTACCTTATTTTTATGTAGTACAGTGTGACAAAAATGAACTTAAAGTTTACAATACAAGATTCAAACTTTGAGCATGATCAGATATCTGCAGTTTATTTATGGAGTTTAGAATACTAAGGCACATTAATTTTTGATAAACGTTCTTACACATAAAGAAAGCAGTAGAATAATCTGCACATAACTTTTATATTCACTAAGTATTGTGCCCCCCAACTATTAGGAATTTCTCAGGGAGGTTTTATAGGAAAAACAAATTAAAAAAAGAACAAATAAAAAATAAAAAATGTGGTAGCATCTTAAAGACTAAGTATATTTTTTTATATGAGCTTTTGTGGACTTGTTATTTTATTATTATTTATTATTTTGTTTTTGCCTGCTGTATAATGCTTGCACAGACTAACACAGGTACCTTGTCTGCTACCACACTCATGGAAGTTTGGACTTTTTTTCATTCATTAGACATACTTGACATCAAAGTGATCCTACACTAGCTTTATTATGTAACAGAGTGCCTTGTTATGCAAGCAGCATTAAGAGTGTGTCATCTACATGGTGAATATAAACTTGAGCATATATCTCCACCACTAACACTTCTTGACCTCAGTCTTTGTATAAAAACAAGATTTCCCAAATACCAACTGGTAGAATTCCCAGGTATGATAAAGTAGTAGATACAGAAGCTAGGATTTAAAGTATGTAGGAAGATTTAGCATCATGAAACAAAAATGTCCTTATGCCTTTAACAATTTTTTCCACTATGGAAAAAATGTAAATGTTTTCCAAAAACATTATCAGTGATGATAATTTAAGCATCAGCTGTGTTTTCATGTCTAGATGTGAGGATGTCATATGTGGGGCAAACATGCATAAAATCATATTTACTTAAAAAGATATTTTATTTCAGATATATTTGGTGTGTCTCCTTTGGGAAGTCCAATGTCGCCCCATTCTGTGTCTTCAGATCTCTCATCCTCCAGAGATTCTTCTCCTAGCCGTGATTCCTCAACGGCTTCTGCCAGTTCCCACCAACCTGTCATAATTCACACTTCAGGAAAAAAATATGGATTCACTATCCGAGCAATCAGAGTGTATGTGGGTGACAGTGACATCTACACAGTTCACCACATTGTTTGGGTGAGTTTTTGACTAGGAATTTTGTTATCATAAAACCTTGGCGAAGTTATAAAAATGCTTGAAACTGGCATGTTTTCCATTTATTCATTTTCACATTTGACCTTCCCTATAATGCAGTGGTTTTCAACCTTGGGTAACCCAGATGTTCTTGGATTGAAGTTCCCAGAAACCTTCACCATCAGCTGTGCTGAAGAAGGCATAAATGGCTTTCCTTCCCTCTAATATGTCCTCACAAAACCCTGTAAGACAGGTCAGACTGTGAGAGATTGGCTGGCCCAAGGTTACCCTCAGACTTTCCTAGCTAAATGGGAGTTTGAGTGTTGATCTCCTGAGTCCTGGTCTAATAATCTGAGCATTGACCATTTTGGCTGTCACACTGACTTTTCTCAGGGGATGTTTTATTTTGTGTGTGTGTGTACAGTGAGGTCTCGACCTGCGGAATTAATCTGTATTGAAACGGGGTCTGTAGGTCGAAAAGTCCTCAAGTCGAAAACCAATTAATCCGTAAACTGCCCAAGAAATGCCCCCTAGGAACACAAAAATGTCTTTTTCAGGAGCACTATGTGGTGGTGGTTTGAAGTGAGAGACAAAATTGAAATAGAGCCCAGATGACAGTGATAAGGACTGGCGAATCTATTTTAATTTTATTCTGATTTTCC